TTGGTTTTTCAAAGTCATGGTATGTAACTCCAGGTTGACTTAAAATGCTGATCCTCCTCCTGCCCCAGCTTTCCTGGTCCTGGGCTTCCAGAGGTGTGTGATGGTGCCTGACATATTGTTTGTTCTTTGGGGAACTTCCACACTCTTCTCACAGCAGCCGCACCATTCCCAACCACCGCAGTCACAACCCAATGATTCATCTCAGAGCTCGGATGGAAGCCATCAGGCTTGCCCGGGAGGGACTTCTGAAGTGAGGATCATGGCCCAGGATGCTTCTGTCACTGCTTGAGAAGTCCACGGTTTGCTGCTTCCTTACTGTCTCATGAGTTGTGATGTTTTTTTTTTTTAATGGAATGCGTCACGAATTTGTGGGCCATCTTTTCTCTATATTGTTGCAATTTTAATAAATGTGCTGCGGAACCGAGCACAAAAGAGTTGTGATCTACAGAGACTACAAGGCAGGTAATGCTCAGGACTCAGTGGCCTCCAAGATCACTCCACAGCCTGATGGCTGCAAGTATGTTCCCCTGATGTTGCATCAGGCCACTTGAACTTATGAAACTAGTTTCTGGGTTTTATTTTAAAAAAACCCACAACTTTTCTTCAGATTTCAGTGTGTATACATGTAAGTGGAGGTCAGGGGGTTGGTGTTGGACATCTTCCTCATGCTTCCTAAAGATTCGTGTATTTTCATTTTATGCCCAAGAGTGTTTTGCCTGCATGTATAAACAAATGCGCTCCACGTGTGCCTGGTGCCTCTGGAAGCCAGGAGAGGTCACTGTACCCCTAGAACTGAAGTCGTGGAGGGTTATGAGCCCCTGTGTGGCTGCTGGGAACTGAACAAGACCCTCTGTAAGAAGGAGGTGGTCTTGCCGGGCGTTGGTGGCACACGCTTTTAATCCCAGCACTCGGGAAGCAGAGGCAGGCGGATCTCTGTGAGTTCAAGGCCAGCCTGGTCTACAAAGTGAGTTCCAGGACAGCCTCCAAAGCTACAGAGAAACCCTGTCTTGAAAAAACCAAAAAAAAAAAAAAAAAAAAAAAAAAAAAGAAGGAGGTAGTCTTAACCACTGAGCCATCTCTCCAGTCCCTTTGTCTTACTTGCTGGAGACAGGGTCTTTTGTAGAACCTGGAGTTCTTTGACTTGTCTAGGCTGGCTCACCTGTGAGCCCCTGGGATCCACCCGTCTGCTCCTGCTGGCTGTCACGTGGGCGTTAGGGACCTGAACTCAGGCCGGCACAGTTGTGCAGTGGTTTATCTACCGAGCCATTTCCTGGGCCCCTCAGTTCTTCACTTCCAGTGAATATGACCTGCTCTTTCTGCCTGAAAATCAGTGGCCTTGTTTCAGCGTAGGAAAGTAGAACAAGGTGTAAGTAGCTGTCTCAATAAGCGTCATCCTTTAATGGGAAATCTTAGGAGGCTGGACACCCAGGCAGGTCTTAACTCCTTCAGGACCACACGGGCACTGGAGTTTTTTTTTAAAAGTCATCTCCAAGTCAATCAGATCTGATTCTCAGAAGTGAACTTTTCAAAATCAAGCCCGTCTGAAAGGATGAACATTTGTCATTACTGGGACTATCTGCTTATCAAACAGCGACGATGGCAATTACTTATGGGGCTAGGTAGCAGGTGCTTTCCATACATGTAACTATATCCCTGCAGCCTACTGGCATTATCCTCCTTCCCATTAAATAGATTAGGTTTGGGAACTTCAAGAACTTGTTTACACAATATTGAAATCTGAACTTCAGTGTGTCAGAAACCCCAAACCAGACTTTACCAATGTGGTGTTGTCTGGTGTATGTAACATGTGCTTTGGGATGGGAATTCCAGGTCATCCCAAGAGCTGGATTATGCTCTTAAGTAGCTACAGGACTTAGTACATGATGTAAGAATAATAATATGTGAGAGCAATTTGTGAGGAGATATGAACTGTGTTATTCAAAGAAATATGCTGTAAATTCTCATCAGAATAGGTTTCTCTTTGTTTTGGTTTTTGGAGACAGGGTTTTTCTGTGTAGCCCTGGCTGTCCTGGAACTAGTTCTATAGACCAGGCTGGCCTCAAACTCACAGAAATCCATCTGCCTCTGCCTCCTGAGTGCTAGAATTAAAGGTGTGTGCCACCACTGCCCGGCTAAACTTTTCTTTATAAGTAGTTTTTCTAGTACTAGAGTTTGAAACTCAGGTCACCTATTTGCTAGGTAAGTACTCGACCATTGAGTTACACCCCCCCAGTATCATTTTTAAGATTTATTTTTTATTTTTAAATATGCATGGGTGTCTTTATGTGGTTAAATGCTCAAAGAGTACCCACAGGTGCCAACGGAGGCCAAAAGAGGGTATCAGATCCGCTAGAGCCGGGTTTATGTGTGGTTGTGAGCTTCCTGTAGTAGGTAATGTAAAGCAAGATCAGGTTCTCTTGTTAAAAGCTATGTGTTCTTAATTGTTGACTTATCTCTCTTTTTATTTGTATTTTATTTTTGAGACAAGGTCTTATGTAGCAGAGACTAACCTTGAACTCCAGTTCTTCCTGCCTTCCCCTCCCAAGGGCTGTGATTACAGGTAAAACTTGGAAATTACAAAACATGAATCCTGGCCCCTGGTTATCTATTATTAATGGATGACCTTGACTAAATCTATTTCTTCAAATTAAACAGGAGATATTACTAATAAGAACATCTGTGATTAAAAAAAAAAAGAAGTTAAAGCTGGGCAGTGGTGGTCACACCTTTGGTCCCATCACTCTGGAGGCAGAGGCAGGCAGATCTCTGTTGAGTTCAAGGCCAACCTGGTCTACAAAGTGAGTTCCAGAACAGCCAGGACTGTTATACAGAGAAACCCTGTCTCAAAAACTGCTCCCCCCCAATTAATCTCATTATGGGTGTGAGATATAACTCAGTGACAAAGAAAACACCCACGTCATGTTGGCCTGTGGGCAAACCTTTGGTGCATTTTCTTGTTCAAGTGAGGATTGATGTGGGAGGGCCCAGCTCACTGTGGGCGGTGCGGCATCTAGGCTGGCGGTCCTGTATGATTATATATATGCACATACATATCTGCACAATCCAGGAAGTAGAACCCCTCAATAGTACCTGCATCCTGTGTCCAAGTTCCTGCTCTGACTTCCCTCAGTGATGGACTGTTATCTGTGAGGTAAAATAAACCCATTCCTCCCAACTTCTCTCTCCTGTAAGTTTGCCATGAGAGGCCAATGAGTGCATATGAAAACTTTTGAATAGACCACAAATCTTACAACATGGCATAATATATACTGTCAGAGGAACTCTACTCCTTTTCAGTGTGGTTCCGTAAAAGCATGCCAGACTTGATTTAGCAGGCTGTCTAATACATTATTTCCTTCTTTTTCATTTTGACTCAGTGCAAATATCCTTCCTCAAAGCAACACCAGGTTCCATGTCACAAGGTTCCCAGGTGTAACTGAATGAAAACATCTTTATTAGCAGTTTTTATCTGGGAAACAGGGCACTTGGGATTGGTTGGGACCAAGAATTCGAAGTCAAGAGGGGGAAGGAAATAATCATATAATAAGGAAAAACCTAGCTGACTGGGGATGCTGGGTCAAGCATGTTCCGTGCCAGCCTGGACCACAAAAAAGTGATGTCCAGGTTAGTCTTGGCTACAAAGTGAGACCCTGTCTCAAAACAATCCAAACAAAAATGTAGCTTAAAAGTCAACCGTCAAGTACTTTATTTTCTGTAAATTTCAGTGACCGGATATTTAAAAGATTTCTGCAATACTGCATTTTAGTACTCCAAACAATTTTTCCTTTTCTATGAGTTTTTTATTCTGATGATTAGAAATTGTTCAAACTCATCTCTAAGACGGGTTTGGAAGCAACAGAGTCAAGGTACTGCTGTTTTACATGGGGTAGATTGACTTTTTAAAAGTAAGTTTGGGGGTAAGTAGTGCGGGGGCCCTAATGGATTTCCAAAACCACCCTCCCCCTCATACCTCCTCCCGCTCCTGCGCAATCAAGATTCCTGAAACTTGCTAAAGGCAGTTAGTGACAAAAGCTAGATTTCCGTCAGCGGTTTTAATTAAAGTTAGCTTTTAGCCTGTGCCCTCGTCATGTGCCAAAGATTTAGATCGGGATTAGCAAACGCTAATCCACGTGTAAAGGCTCTATGGGCTCCACACCAGTAGCCCCCCTGTTCGATCTCTTTAAATGTACGTTTCGACTCCTCTGGCTATCCTTAATTAATTTCAAGAGCTGTGAACAAATTCCCATCGTTGGTGTCTCCTTTCATCAGCCTGATTCTTAAGCAGGTAACACACCAAAGTCTGGCCTCGAATATCAAGCTCTGGACACCCTCTGATCTCGCCCCTATTCCCAGGACAAGGGCCTTTATGCACTTAACTTCTCACACATTAAAAACTTAATTAACTTGAAGCAGACTTAAAAGTTCTCCCCCGAAAGTAACTGCTAGTTTTAGAGCTCTCTTAGATGATTTTCAAGTCAAGGCTGTATCTGATGAGACCAGGGATGATAAGAAGTCTCCAAATGTGGGTGGTAGTGGGGGGGGGGTTGTCGCCATAGAAGGCCTCCAGGGGCGCTGACAAGCCTCAGAAGTGGGAACTGGACTTCCCAGAACAGGGCCTGGGCGGGTGAGCAAAGCAGGGGGATGGGCAGGGGGCCATCAGGGGAGAAGTCTCCGGCCTTTCCACATCTCTCAACACCATCCCTCCACCCCACCCCCTTCCTCCGTGCGGAATCCTCAACTGGCCGGCAGGAGGGAGAAGGGCCCCGGGGGGCTGGCCGCGGCCAGGAGGATTGGCCTTTGTGGCCCGGTGGCCGGCCGTGGCGCGCAGGCTGAGGGGCGGGGGCCTGACCCCCAGGTGCATTGTCCAGCGGGGCCCTCCCCCTGTCCCCGGGGTCGCCCAAACGATCGCAGCGTGTCCCTCCGCCAGCAGCGCCGACCTCGCCGTGCGGGGCCCAGGGGCCAGATGTAGAAAGTAGTCCCCGGCCGGCCAGGCTGTCCACTGCGCCGCCCTCTGCAGCCTCCCTCCGCCCCGGGCTGGACGCGACGCGCGTGGTCCCCGCGGCCTGGCGCGCGCACGGGGGTCCGTGCGCCTGCAAGCGGCGCGTCGCCTAGCCACGCCGGAGCAGCGGGTGCAGCAGGAGCTGCGGATCCAGGAGAGCAGCGGGAGCAGCGGGCGCGGGCGCACGGCCCGGGAGCATGCCCGCGCAGCCCCGCTGAATGGCGCCTCCCGTGCGCCCGGGGATGCCGCCCGTGCTGCTGTTGCTGCTGCTGCTGCCGCTCGGCTCCCTTCCAGGTGGGCGCGCTCTCCGAGCGAGTGTGCGCGACCGTGCGCGGGGAGGGGGACGGGCAGGGATGTCCCGGGTGGTGCGGCCGGCCCGGGCTTCCCTCGGGATGCGCGCTCCGAGCGATCCTCGGCCGAGGCCGAGTCTCCTTGGGGCCGCTGTCCACTCGCCCTGCTCACGCCATTGTCCGCGCTGCGGCCAGCCGGGGGTTCCGTGCTGCGTCCCGGGCCGCGGCCGCACGTGGTTTTATTTATATTGTTTCCTGAGTGGCAGCCTCGCCGCGCAGTGGGGCGCCGCGGTTGCGCGCCGTTTCTAGGGTTTGCAGTGGGTCCCCCAGGTCGCGGGGTGGCGGAGCCAGGAACCCCCCGCTTCCGCAGCTTGAAACTGAGCAAGGAGATGGGAGGGTGGAATTGCAACGAGAAGGAGCTTGAAAGTTGTGTGGCCCATTTGTGCCCCGGAGAGGCTAGAGGAAGGTGCCTGGACAGAACTTACTTTCTGCATGCAGGTCTTTGGGGTCCCGGCGGGAGTTCCCTGAAACCTCCAGATTAGCCTTGCACAAACTTGCATAAATTTATTTATCTCCCTTTTTTCAATCTTGGTTTCTTAAAAGACGGAAACGTATAAAGTGGGGGAAGGAGGGGATTTGAAAAGGTGTTAAGGAGCTTGAGTTACAAACAGCTTTTTTCTTTTTCCTTTTTCTTCTTTCTTTTTTTTTCTGGAAGAGTTAGTTTCAGTTAGCAAGAGAAAGGATCAAAGTAGTAAGCGGCTCAGAAACACAATGGGCGTCTTCCGGAGTGGTTGCATGCTGCATGGGGCTATTGGTAGCTGCCCTGGGCGGACCTTAGTGGAAGTTCCGAGCTCCAGACTGAGGTTTTCAGGATCTGCCTTGATGAGAAACAGATAAATCATTGCTGGGTATTTGTAATCAGGGCTTCAAACTGACCAGGAGAAGTGTTAAAAACAAAACAAAAGCCAGACTCCCACCAAGACCTTTAACTTTATGTTGGCCCAGATCATGCTTTTGCTCTAAACACAAGAGGCAACAAATGCTTTATTCTGGTGGACCACAGATTTGTGCTTGGATAAAACATTCCCTCTGCTCTGATAAAAATGTGTATTGGTTGATTAAGCAATCTCCTCTCCCTATTAGACAGTAAGGACCAATTAGTCACGCATTTTTTCCAACAGTTGGTAGCTCGAAAAAAGTGAAATAAAGGTTTCCTAATCCGATCACCCACTGAGCACAAGCAGCCAGAGTTACCGACTTTTCAAAGTCTATTGTGTGTCCTTTAAATACCTAGCTGGCTCGGCAGAAATGAAGTAAATGGATTTCTCTTAAGGATCCGAGACAGCATCCCTGCCGTAAAAGGGCAGATAGAAAAAAAAAATGCAAACTTGTAATTTGTCACAAAAGATAAACGCACTTCCCAAAGGAGTAGGTGCCGGATTTTCCAAAAACACTTCAAGAGACAAGGAAATAAACTCGCTTGTTCACAGAGTTGGAGTTTTGCTAATGATTTCTTGTAAAATTAGACTTTTATGACTTAACCCTGTTCAAGATCTTTTTGACAAGCTTGTAAAAGTAGCAAATGGCTTGTGCTAGTAGTTCTGATGATTTTGGGTCTCTGGCCAGAAACCTGAGAACCAAATTCTTAGGCTTCATAGAAGGCATCAGCGTCTTCCCCATGTCTTGAGTGTAGACACTGTAAAGGGAGACTTCTCTGACTTGTTGAAAGGGTTTGCAGTTATTGAGGTCCTTGGAAGCTAACCATTATGGCTGGAGAAACTGCCTTATACCACAAATATGTGTCTTACAGTTGTGTGCTGAATGATTTTATACCTGTAATTCTGGACATACCCCTCTCCCCCCTTTTCTTCACAGGAGTGTGGAGCTTTAGCGAACTGTTTTTCATGAAAGAACCGCAGGATGTAACTGTCACAAGGAAAGACTCCGTCTCTTTAGATTGCCAGGCTCACGGAGAAGGTCCCATTAAGGTCACATGGATGAAAAATGGAGCGAAATTGTCTGAAAACAAACGGATCCAGGTTCTGTCTAACGGCTCTCTGTACATCAGCGAGGTGGAAGGCAGGCGAGGAGAGCAGTCCGATGAAGGATTTTATCAGTGCTTGGCAGTGAACAAGTACGGGGCCATCCTCAGTCAGAAAGCTCATCTGACATTGTCAAGTAAGCATTTTAAGTTCTTCTTGGTGGTAACAGTTTTCTGTTAGAAGGGCTTTTTTATTTTTATTTTTATTGACTTATGAGTAGCACTAAAATCATTCATATGTTAAGAATTTCACCAGAGATGATAATAGCTGTTGCTAACGGAGGTGTGCAGAGAAATCTGCAAAAACTACATAAACTTGAGGTGTTGGGAACCAAATTCAAATTAGAGTTTGAAAGCGGCAGGTGACTATCTAAATTTCAAGTGTTGCCCACTGTGAGAATTACATGAAGAAGTTTGTGATAAAATTCCAGTCTTTTGGAAACCATTGGATGGAAGCAGTCACAAGGAAATCTTTCTGCTGTGTGGCTGGCTCTTGAGTGCTGACTCTTTCTTACAGCCCAACCTTCCGGCTCTCAGACCATGTAGCTTTTTGATTGTAAGAGAGGGCACTGGTCAGTAACTCTGAGGCTTTCCAAGTATTTCGAGTCTTTTCCATCTGGGAGGGAAGAAGAGATCAAGGCCATTTCTGTATTAGGCCTAATGGAATTAAACCAGATCTGCTCATTTATTTTCTCCAGTTATCATAAAGTCTGCTGTCTAAGGATTTCCTTTGTATTAACATCATTCAAGCAAGTGTCAGCCTTATGATCCATTGGGTGGTGGTTGACCTGGCAACTTCTGGGTGTCAGGAGGGGCCTAGGACAGGTAAGGGAGCTCCTTGAGGTCACCTCTTCAGGTGACCAGGCGACACTCCCCAGCAAGGTGAGATGTTGGAAAGAGTTTTACAGCTCTGGCTATGCTCTTAACCTCCGGAGGGCAGGTTTTTGCACTATACACACTGACCCGTTCATAAAGCATACAACAGGAAGAGCACGTTTTTGAGATAACCATATAATCTTTAGAGAGTGGTTTATCCAAGGTCTCCTCAATGGAAGCTCCAGAGATGGCTTTGAGTTTCCCAAGTGACTTAACTACGGCTTAGGGGCATATTTCTGCTGCACTTACTATTTTGTAATTGATGTAATTGTATGGTGATGATAAAGTGTAGAAAATAACTGCAGAGAGACATTTGTGTTGAACTATGTTGGCAAATTAGAGATGCTTCCAAGCCTAGCCCCACCCCCACCCCTGCCAAAGACGGACATAACCCTGAGAAGATCTCTGATAAACTCCACCCCCAATGCCCCCTGCTGTTTTCCTTGGGCTTTGATCATTGGTCATTGAAATCTTTCATTGAGCAGTGGTTTCACTGTACAGGGTCACTTTGAGGAGACTGTGCGTTTTAGCTCTATGCCCGGTTCATTTGAGTCTTGTGTAACGTAAATCACTCTGGGTTTCTTCTATTCCCATCTTTTCATATTTGTGGAATCTTTTTTTTTTTCCAAATTTTTTTCATGTCAAGGAACTGTAGTTTGTGTTGCGTTTGTGGGGAAGTGGACCATAGAGGGGAGTGGACAGGACTTAAAAGACAAACATTTATCAAGACGACACTTACTTCCAGGACCTCCTGAGAAGCCTGGCAGAATCCCACAACTCACCCTACTTTCTGACTCCATAAATAAAATCTGAAGTGAAACAAATATTAGGAACAGGGGCTGGGTTAGTGATGCAGTGTTGAAGCGTGTGTTTGGCATGATGGCGTGTGTTTGACATGATGAGTGTCTGGGTTCAGTTCAAACCTAAACTAAACCCCCCCCAAAAAATCAACCAAAAAAAAACTAATCATCCAAAAAACATAACATTTTGAGTATCTTCACATTTTTGTATCTTTAAATTTTTTATTAATAACACCTGATTACATATTACTCATTTTACAAAGTATTGTGGGGAAGTAAATGACCTGATCTTCATATTATAAATACAATTTTTTGTTAAGATTTATTTATTCTGTCTGCATGCATGCCTGCAGGCCAGGGGAGAGCATCAGATCTCATTATAGACTGTTGTGAGCCGCCGTGTGGGTGCTGGGATTTGAACCCCGGGTCCTCTGGAAGAGCAGCCAGTGCTCTTAACCGCTGAACCATCTCTCCAGCCCCCTATAAATATCAATTTTTGGATTGAAGAAAATCAGGTGTGGCACATATCTGTGGTCCCATCAGTGGGAGGCTGAGGCAGGAGGATGGCGAGTTTAGACTGTTTATCAAGGCCTGTCTTAGAAACTCACGAAGCCATCTCACAGGCCCTCAGAAACAAGCAAAACTTCCCAGATGAACTGCTTAGATCATCACCTTGCTTTAGGTGGGGGGGGGGTCTTTCACCCAGTCACTACTAATGGATTTTAAAACAAGAAATGCACAGCGGATTTAATTTAGATTTTTCTTTAAGAAGGCTCTCAGTGATCCTGTATCCATACAGTTTTGTTGTTTAAGAGGCCGTGTCTTGTGACAGGGGCTGTAATCGCTCTTCCTGTGCAGATGTTATCCAAAGTGATCAGGAAGAGGGGAGCATTAAGTGGGCATTCTGTTGTTTTTGTGTGTGTTTTTAAAGCTAGTGCTTCCACTTACTGATAACAGCAGGGTACAAGTGTGTTCTTTTTGTTTTCTTGGGGATTTTATGAGCGAATGCATCTTTTGGTTTGGCGGTGGTAGTCACTACCAGTAATCTAAAACTTTAATCTGTGCCACTCTTGGGTTTTTTAACACACAGGCTGAGTTTCTGAATTTAGCGGCTAGAAGCGGAAAGTTGCACTCTGGGCCAGAATTCCATTATTCATGTGTAAATTAGGAATCGGCAAGGTTAAAAGGTTAGACACTGGCCGGGGTGAGGTTTACCCTGTGATAAAGAGCAGATGACCCTCATTCATTGGCCCCAGCTTTCATGTAGCTCTTCTGCAAAGTTGCTTATTGCCATGAATTGTTCTTGAGGAATGCAGAAATTCGAATGTGAGCAGGCCCTTCCTTAAGTGTCACTGTGGGGCCTTATCTCCCAGCACATCAGCACAGGGTTCTTCCCCAAGGCCTGGAGGCTTGGCTTTCCGGTTGTTCACCCAAGCACAAAAGAATGCGAATTCAGCTAGTTTAGTTTTGCTAAGGCATCCTGTTTTAAAAAGGAAAACATAGGGTTAAAGTAATATATAGCTATTTTTAAAAGTAATCCTTTGTGTTGATAGCCATTTTATTGTCCCCTTTTTACATTTTCATGAAATTTGAAAAGAGGTGAAGGATGTTGGGAGCCCCTTTTCTAGTTGCATACAATAGTAATCAGAACATTAATATAGGACCTATAAATGTTTAGTTTTAGCACATCAAAATTCACCTACTTGAGTGCTAAGTCTTCCTTATATAAACACTGCAATTAAAATATTTTAGGGGTACCAAATGACCAGAGAGCCGTCTGGATGTTCCTAGCGTTCTTAATGCTGGTGTAAGATAAATCTCATAGGAAGGCATTAGTGTGCTTCAAACAGCCTCATATTTCAACAAGTTTAAATTAAGATAAGGGAAGTAAAGGAGGGGGCGGGCGTATGGCCATCAGCGAGGACTGAACAGGAAACTCCATGTTTGTCTCCTTTCCATAAAAGGTGGGAATCGAAGCCCCTAGATAGGATGGGAGCACAAATCTGCCCTGTCTTTCTTAGGGGTTTCATGATTTTTTTTTTAATCTTGAGCAAAGACAAAAAAGCAATTGTAAGATGGAAGAACATAGGAATTCTCTAAACTTCATAATTCTTCTTAGAAATATGAGATTAATTTTAACCATTTCTGTAACTTTTAGGGGCAAGAGTCCTTGCCTTTAGTAAGATATGTTTTTCATGAATAAAATGCTTCTGTTTCAGTTTAAGATGAACTTTCAAGGATTTTTATTTTGTGGGTATGGTTTTCTGCCTTAAAGAGTAATTTATCAATTATCATCCAAAGTTTAATTAGAAAACTTTTAAAATAATGTTTTGAAAAAGAGAATAAGAATATGAAAATATGGGGCTGGAGAGATGGCTCAGCGGTTAAGAGCACTGACTGTTCTTCCAGAGGTCCTGAGTTCAATTCCCGGCAAACGCATGGTGGCTCACAACCACCTTAAATGAGATCTGACACCTGTAGACAGAAGGCTGTATACACAATAAATAAATAAAATATAAAAAAATAATATGAAAATATAGTTCAGATATTTGGATTTTATTAGAGATCCTGAACTCCAAGCTGGCAAAATTTGTCTGCAGCGTCCCTGTCCCAGTGGGGTTTGTGGACTTTGAGGATCAGCGTCTTGTCTGTGGGGCACACAAGGTCTTAGCAGTCACCCACCCTAGTTCAGCAGTTCTGACACAGAACTCAAAGTCCCTGGATTTTGGAAAAATAAAGAGAATGAAGCAGGTATTTTGAGGGACTGGTTTGCTAACTCTGTAAAAATAAAGCATAGTTACTACTTCCTGATGTCCTAGAGAGCTTGTGGTTTGAACAGTCTGTTTAAGTTACTGTCAGTTGTCCTGGATACATGAAGTCAACTCAGTAAAAGCTGCACACACCTGGTCCTGCAGCTTGGCTGGGCTCCCTGAAGGTCTCTCTACTTGAGGTCTGGTCTGCTTATCAGAGGCTGGATAATCTCTGGGTCAGGGAACCAGTTTTTCCTTCTTTATGTGTGATTCATGACTCATTTTGTGCCAATTGAAACACTATCTTCCTCTTTTCAAAGTTGGTGGATTTTTTTTCTTTTCTTTTTTGGAAGCAAAGCAGGATCCAGCAAGGGGGTAGAGTTCTATGTTTCTCGAACACACACACACACACACACACACACACACACACACACACACACACACACACACACACACACACGTGTTTGCTTTATTTCTGCCCATTTTTTAAAGGAAATCTCAAAAGGGTCCTGTGTCTATACCCTTTTGGTCAGCTGTCTCTGATGAATCCAGAGAAAGAGCTTCACAGCCAGGGGTTGTTTGTACAAACCCCTGGGGATCTGTGCTCCCAAATTCAACAGCTGGGCCTGTGGAGGAAGCTCTCAGCAATTTAAGAGACTAGCCGAAAACTAATCTTTTAAGCAAGGCTTTGGGTTTAATGCATATTTCAGT